AGTCTTCTCCAATCGCCTCCCACTCTCTGGTTTATAGACCTTAAGAACCTCACTGTTCTCTACACTCAGAAAGTATACATTCTAATATGCCATCCGTTGCTTGTATTGAATATACAGACCAAGAGCAGTGATAATGTAAACAGACACTGTTTAGTTCTGCTAAAACTAAGAGAGAAGATGGTGGAACACAGATGAGACATGCATTTCAGTTGGATCCTAATTGAACTTCACTGAGAACTAGATCGTACCAACTACAAAAGGAAATCCGAGTTGAAAGATGGTGACGATGGGCTCATCAAGTGCACAGAACATGAGAAGCAAGGCAAAGGAGAGACAGTAGAAAGAGTCTGGATTCATGGAACACGGGGGCTTCCCACAGAGGACTGTGAAAACGTGGACCACCTTGCGGGTCTCTAGACTGCTGCAAGGAGGTGATTTTATATCAACTACAGGATGAGGCAGGACGCCAGGCTGTGGGTATGAATTAACAGATGACATAGGTCAAAAAGCAGAGTGCCAGTGAGAAGTAGCAATAGCTATGAATGCCAATGGCAAAGGCAAAACACTAAGAAAATCTAACCTTATATTGCAAGTACCCACTATACCAGGAACTGCTTCCAGACATAAGGACTTGTCATCAAAGTAACCTAAGCAGAGTTCAGGCTCCAAGCAAATTTCGTGAGCTTGCTCCTTGTACTACAATGTTTGCTTTGTACCTAAAACCGTGGCAGTGTTTAGGAGTTAATATATGTTATTGAAGTGAAATCTCTTCCTGAGTTTTCTCATTTCTCAACCCTAAGAGCACTCTGAAACTCCCAAGTAGTCTCAACTCTTACTTTCCAGAGGGCGAAGAACTCACACCTCACCTGTGCTGAGTTAGCGTTTCTTTGCCCAGGTGATTGAGCAAGAGCAAAGCGCACCTTCTGCACCTTCCGGAGAGGAGAGGGGGACAAAACTCTATGGCGATGACAAGATCTGCCTGTTGCCTCTGGCCTTCCAAGTCTTAACGTAGCATCTGTTCTGGAACAAGTTTAGGGCTGTCCCTTCCCCTGAAATAGGCTTCCTCAGAATCCGTACTCACCCAGAGATCATTCTTTTGCATTTAGACTCATTAGATACACTAATTTGTGGAAAGATGTAACTAAGCTGAGATGTTTATTGGGCCGAGGTGGGAAAGCCACAGTGTCTTTTAGGTTCTCCTATGGTAGGGGCACCATGGGACCCAATTTCAGGCTGTCAAAGCCAGCTTTGATGATTTTTTTTTCCCAGAGCCCCATCCTTCAGTTCACGGGTTATCTCATCGGTCTCTTGTCCATGCATCAAGCTTTCTTAATTATCTTCTCCAGTGTTCCCAGTCTTGTCATTTTACCTCAGCAACCACTTCATCACCAGCTGGCCGTGGTCGTACACACCTGAAATCTTAACCACAAAGACATCGAGACAGGAAGAGTGCAGTGATAGCGCTGGTCCAGGCAACATAGTTAGACACAGTCTCAAAATTAAATACAAAAATAAAGACGGTTCCCCCCCCAAAAAACGTCCTTTTTAAAATTATGTGTTATAGTGGTATTTTTGTAAAGCAGCAGGGTTATTGATTGTCCCATTGTCAATGTGGTTGATTTTGAAACTGCAACTTGCCAGGAAATCTTATGACGGTAAAGCCCAAGACAGCTTTGCCTGGGTAAGAAATGAGTGTTCTCACTGACGATTTCCTTGCACCCCTTGGTAATAGGAAGGCACGCTATCTATCACTGCTTCTGAGGAAAAAAAAAAAGAATCAGGCTTCATTCCTCATTCTCAGGTGTTTCTAAGACTCAGTCTATGATGGATAGATTCTAGAAGATATAGGCTATTTTTCCCCTTGACTTCAGCCAAATGGACTCCACAGGCTACCTCTGAGTTAAGAGAAAAGAAGTGAGGAAGGCTTGTTGTCTAAAAGTGTATCTCCTGCTGCAGCCTCACCTGAACTCCCATAGTTTATTCATAACCATACACACCAGGAAAATGTTAACAAAAGCCCCCTGACAATCAGTTTCCAATTTGTAGCTTAAAACAATTATGAGGAACGACTTGGCAGGAAATGTCATTTTGCTACAATGCCTTTGCATCCTTTTAGCAATCTAATGTCACTCCACTGTGACCACAAGGAATCAGAAAGTCAGCTTGGCTACAAAAAGCCCTGGCACTAGGATGAAACCCAGATGTCCCTGGAGAGCAGGGCTGTAGCATTGGGCTATTATTTCCGCTCAGTGTCCATCAGCAAGATCCCATCTTCTTAGGGATCTCGCCATGTTCACTATCAGAACATCTTTAAGACTAGCAGAAGCTTTAGTTATGACCATCGGCTAAGTATTCATTTAGATTTCAGAATAATATTAATCATATAGACCGTATGCACAATCCTTTGGTTCTTATTAGAGCATGTGCAGAGTGTCTGTACACTTTATCCCTCACTGCACCACATGCCAACAACTCAAATCGAAAGTTCCAAGTCCGTGGCAGCAGTCTCTTTCCTTAGATGGAATAGAATGTTGCTATTTTGCAATAGTCGTAAAATAAGGACAGCAACAATCACTAATAAGAGATTCCATGTTGCTTACCTAGTACCACGCTCTTTCCTCAGTGGCTTAACAAATTCAGTCATTTAATTCTTTCTGACTGTTGGTATATAGTGTCCATTTCACCACCCAGGGCCACTGGGAAACTGGTAAATGAGAAAACCAAAAGTTACCTTCCTAGATTTAGTCCAGCACTGTTATACATTGTCTGTATAACATTTCATTGTGGTTTTACTTTGACGTTGTAAGCAGATTTTTTGAAAAGAGACACATAAAATTAAATGTTAAGTGCAGGCCGATCAGCAAGGCAGTTCCTGGAGTATTGCCACAAGATGAAGAAACCCTGGCATATATGTGCTTGTAGGCAGGAGTTTTCTTTCCCCACCACCACCACCCAGAACCCCTGTTTCCAAATAACCAGCAGTCACTTCCCAAATAACTGGCTTGGAGACTTAATAGAAATTATAAAAGCTCGATCCATAGCTAAGACTTGTTGCTAGCTAAGTCTTACATTGAAGTAAAGCCATATTTCTTACCTATGCTTTGCCATGTGGCTCCTGGCTTTGTACCTCACTTTTTACATGTCTTGCCTCCTTGGCATCTGACTGACATCTCCAGACCCTACCCTTCTTCCTCCCAGCATTCTCCTAGTCTGACTTTCCTATCTAACCTTACTCTGCTCAGCTATTTGCCAATAAGTTTCTTTATTAACTAATACGATTAATCCATATTCATAAAATACAGGATCATTCCACAGTATATGCTATTTATCTTTTTATATGTCATTGAACATAATCTCCAGTTCCAACCACTTTCCTAAGGACCATATCTATTTTCCTTTGTGACTAAATAATTTCAATTGTATGTATATACCCTATGATTAACCATCCAGCCACAATGGACAGCTAGGGTGGTCATATCATAGGCATAGTAAAGAGAAAAACAATAAACAAGGGAGTGCAGATGTCTTTTTATTTTGATTATATCCTTGGAAATTGAAAAGTTAAATTATATGTTAAAATCTGTGAATATTTTTTTTAATGACTACACGTGTTTTAGCTCTACTCTTATTCATTCCTTATTATGTTGGTCTTTTTGATAATTGTCATTGTGACTTGCACCAATGACACTATAATTTGATTTGCATTTCTCTGGTGTCCATGGAAGCTGGAAAAAATTTCACAAAATAATTCAATCACTAGTACTTCTTTTCAGAACTGTCTGCTTGTTTCAATTTGCCCAGTTCATAATTAGGCATTTAATTAATCCTATAGGAGAAGGGGCAGTAGAAGAAGAGAGAAAGTTTTAGGTCGAAGGTTGAGCTGACTGGTCTCTACTGGATCCTATTATGAATACAGATAACTTAGGAATAACTACTCATGTCCTTAGAAGATTTGCCATAAGAAAACAGCAGAAAAATTAAGTGTGCAATTAGACAAAAATAGATGTCAGTTTAATTGTCTCAAAAATAAGACAATATTCAACCAATGACAAAATTAACTTCTACATAAAATCCCTGAGAGAAGTTATAAAAACATTGTATAGCAATAAAATGTATGATACAATCCAACAGTTTCAGAATTTTTTCTTAAATTTTTGTAATCAATGATGACCCTTAGGTCAGTGATCACATGCAGGAGTTCTAGAATCATCCTTTAAAAATATTTTACTAGTTCTCCTTATTGAATGTCATTGTCACTACTCACAGAGTTTGTCCTCATTTATTGTGTGCTATGAACCCCAACCTGGTCTACAGATTCATTCTTTTCCAACAGAAGAAATGTCTCTATTAGTGAACAAATTGACACATGTAGATGTAGTTTGAAGAACAAGTCAAGGGGACATAAGTATATTATTATTTCTTTTTGCAATGAGAAAATGAATGAAAATGAAAAGAAATGTCATTTCTTCCTATAATTGAACATAAAGTAACAATAGGAGCCAGATTTCCATATAAAAACAGAAATATTTTTCATCTACATTTTGCTTTCCCAAAAAAAGAAAGAAAAGAAAATGCATGAATGAATTTGTTGACAATACTAACAACAACCAATTTGTGGAATAATTTGAACTTTAATTTCTCTTTTCAGCTGGATCTTATAAAATATATCTTCCTATCTAGATTTCAGACATTTTATTAGCTCCTTTCTTGTTTTGACTTTTGAATACAAAATTCTAAAATGTCAGGTAACAGGACTTTAGCTTGCAAGTTGCAATGGGAGTGATGATGACTTGAACTCTCTCAAACTTTGCAGTGTCTTCTTGTAGGCCCATTCCATCCTTTCTTTCCCTAACAAACCTCAAAATACCTGAACTTTATCCCAGAGTCAACATTAAGTGAGTAAGCAACCATTTGGTTGCTTATTACTTTTTTATACCAAACAAAGTTTGGGCTAATGCTTTCATTTTAAGATAATATCTCTCTTCAACTTGATTTCCTAGGGAGCGAGCTTTGAACACAACCCAGCCCGGGTCCCTTCAGCTTACTGTGGGGAACTTGAAACCAGCAGCCATGTACACCTTCAGAGTTGTTGCCTACAACGAGTGGGGACCGGGGGAGAGTTCTCAACCCATCAAGGTGGCCACTCAGCCTGAGTGTGAGTATGAAATTGGAAGGGCAATTTGAAAAGCATTTATCTTCATCTACAATATCCTTGCATCCTCTCTTAGAACTTTTTGAGCTGCCAATATGGAAGATTGTTGTAGCCACACACTTAACTTGAGCACTTTTGAAAGCAAACTAACAAGTTAATGAGACAGCCACCTTACTCAAGACACAATAGGAAAGTTTTAACTGAGAAGGCCAAGTCATCACCGTAGCCTACATATTTATCTTTTAATTAATTTATTTATTTATTAAAGATTTCTGTCCCTTTCATACCACCGCCTCCCATTTCCCTCCCCCTCCCCCAATCAAGTCCCCCTCCTTTGTCAGCCCAAAGAGCAATCAGGGTTCCCTGCCCTGTGGGAAGTCCAAGGACCACCCACCTCCATCCAGATCTAGTATGTGAGCATTCAAACTGCCTAGGCTCCCACAAAGCCAGTACGTGCAGTAGGATCAAAAACCCATTGTCATTGTTCTTCAAAACATATTTATCTTTTAAGAAGCAGTCCAATACCACTACCCTGCCTCTTACTATTCTATCTTCATCCTCTTCCATTAATTTTTTCATATATTTGATATTTTTCTATAAGATGTCAATTATTAAAGAAACTAATGGCATGGAACTTTTAATCTCAAGAAGTTACTAAAAAATTAAATATGCATCAACTATACTCAAGAAGCTGCCAGTAGGTGAACTGGGGCATTGGAAATATAGGTAACTGCTTCTGTTGGCTAAACATCACTCTAAACCTATTCACTATATTAAATTAGGTGATCACAAAGTAAAGAAGCACAATACTCTAAAAACTTAATATTTAATGATAAAATTTCTCTACTTTTTAATGCATTACATACATATTTTGAGGATAGTTTGGGGAAAGAATTACTGACCAGCAGCTTGTCTGCTTATATTTAATGAAAACATTATAATCTAAAAGTTAAATTCACTGAATAAGTACTTATGATAAGGTACTGAATTCCAGCTCCTTTCCAAATAATAATTCTGTCTATTATACTTTTGCTTTTATTTTTTTGAAAACCTCTGGTTAACTTAAAAATAATTTGTAAAGCTTTTGTAAGACATGCGCATAGAAATTGGAAAAATGTCAAACTAGTAAAGGTGAAAAACCAGTCTTGAGTTGACTGACTTCCATGGGACTTTGTCGACACTACCAGAAAGAGTAGATTTTGTCATCTGAATTCTGGTAGATAATTGACTATTGGAAAGATCCCCAGTTTTTCTTCCTGCTAGCCATGATTATTACAGAGAGCATTTTGGATCATCATCCATGAAAGGAAAAATGAATAAGCCCTAATATTCCCATAAATAGTTGTTTTATGAAAACAAAATTGCAGATAGTAACTTCAAAAGCATGGTGCCCTCTGTTTCATGAGGGGGAATCAGTCAGCTAGGTAACTATTAGGAGCATGGGTGAAATGAACACATTGAGCCCCTTTATTGAAAATTGCATAGTAATTAAGGTCAACTGCTGTCTTCTTCTCCTTAAAGAATCCCTTAAACAAGCGGCCATGCAGTCTCTCTGTTCATGTACCCATAGAGCTTGCATCATTCCCAGAATTGGTTTCTAAGAATGTTGTGTTGTTTGTGGGATTTAAATGACTACAAAGGCCCATGAGGATGCCTCGGCAGCTGAGGATACTAACCATTAAACCTGATAACCCAAGCTCCAACCTGAAACTCACATGTTGGTAAAAGAGTTCCAACATTCTTATAAGTACTTGCCTGACCTCAATCCACACTTGTGCTGTGATGTATGCATGCTCCTTTACATATATACATGCATATATAGATGCACAAATAAATAAACATAATAGAAATTTAAGGCAGCTAAAACTAATATGGAGACACACACTTGTGATCTTGGAAGGTCGATGCAGTGGGAACCTTCTCCAACAAAGCTTCCAATCATGCCAAAAGACCACACCTTCTAATCCTTCCCTAACAGTTCTGCTATGTGGTCACCAAGCATTCAAACATATGAGCCTATGGGGATCATTTTCATTCAAACTACCACAGTTCACATATAGATAATTGATTGCTTTTATGAATGTCTGGTATTTTTAATTAATAAAATTG